TTTAGCTAGTCTTACTACTTTTAGCATTTAGCTAGCCTTACGCTAACCAATAGTTTTAGCTAGCCTTACGCCAACTTTGAGCTTTAGCTAGCCTTACAATAACTTTGATAGTTTTAGCTAGTTTTACTACTTTTAGCTTTTAACTAGTCTAAAATTTTCATTTTATTGCTTTTGGCGAATAGCTTTCAGCCAGCTTTCAGTTACATTAAGTCTTGAGCTAATAATATCATAGTTTTAATTTTTTTTCTTCTAATTTTAGCTAACATTTAGCTTCTTTTGGCTAGGCTAGCATTTTACTACTTTTAGCATTTAGCTAGCCTTACACTTGAGTTTCAGCTACTCTTACTAGTTTTAACTTTTAGCTAGCCTTTTGCCAAATTGACCATATTTTTTTCAATTATTAGCTTTTAGCTCGTGTTTTGCTAATTTAAGTAGTATTTTTGTTTACTTTTCATTTTAGTTAGTGCTTTGCTCTTTTTAGCTTTAACGATTTAGCTTCAGCTTCTTCAGCAAACTTCATCGTTCACAGGTTTTTCTGGTTCACCTGAAAAAGGAAAAACGTTCTAACGTTGAAACGCCGATCATTCCTCGAGGGGAAACGATGTAACGGTGCTGCATCGACACGACTCATGACCGATTTCTTCCACGGGGAGGTCAAAGGTCAGAATAAGCTACAGTTGCTTCAGACTGAGCACAACGAGGACGAGATGAAACTAGAGAGGACTCCTCGGTCCGACTGACCCGGCTGAAGGATGGCTTTTCTAACAACTGGACGACCATCGCTTCACTTTTTCATTTTCACTTTATTGATCCCTGAAGGGATGTTAAGATAAGCTGATAAGTGACAGATATTGGCAGAGGGAAAACGACAGCGGAGAGGGAGCAGCTGGAGGTGACAGAGTCGACAGAAATGGGCAGTAAGTGGAAAAAAAACAACATTTCATGAAGCACAAACGTGTGACATCTGAAGTGTGTCCTCTCACCGTCTCCTTGCGCTCCGTGCTGCAGCAGGAAGCTCTGCCCTTCGTTCCACTGCCTCTCCAGGAGCTGCTCGATGCTAGTGGCCACGGGGGGCAGCGTCTCGCCACCGCCGCCTCCCCCGGCCCCTAGCAACCCCAACCCTGGCCCCGGCAACGACCCCGAGGAGTCATAGCGAATCTGCAGGCCACCAATGGGAGAGCTAAACGGAGAGAGCATGGGCAGAAAAAGGAGAGATGGAGAGGTCAATAGGGAGATTAACGACCCAACATAAATGTCAGACAAACATAGACACTGCTGGCTATAAAACTACATCAATTTGTTGTTACAGTGGCCTCTAATGAAAAGGGGCCAGGCCCGAGGAAGACGGGGAGAGGGAGGAAAGGAACGGGACGTCGGGGACACAGAAAGGGAAGTGCGACGTCTTGATGCGATAAATCCTGGTTGTTCAGACAATCTGTTGAGTGTGAAAAAGGGGAAATGAGGGACAGCAGGAGAGCAGAGCGAACCGTAATGGAGAGAAATGAAGAGTTCAACACAAAAAACCCAATCTGTGGCGGATGGAGGACACAAAGTGTATTTTTTTATCTAAATGTTCAAATATCTGGAGAAACTGCTCATTTCTTACAAACCTACATTCTGATGAGTTATTTGGTGTTACCAACCTTATCTAAAGAAATGGCCCGTCCCACAAACAAACAAACATAAAAAATGTGTCTGTGGGATCAATATTCCCATCCTGAAGGATCCATGAAAATATTCCCGAGTGGAGAAAATGCAGCAAATCATCAAAACTGTCCATCCGTGTGTGATTTAAACCCAGGCTAAAAGAGAGAAATCTAACTGGACTTGATGGATGGTTAGCTCCTTTAAAACAAGTTATCGTTGGCTAAGAGAGAGAAAATCGCCTGTAGGGTAAAAATGAACGAGGGAATGTGTGTGTGTGCGAGTGTGTGTGTGCGAGTGTGTGGAGTGAGAAGGAACCGAGGGGCCGGCGAAGGGAAAACCAGAAAAAGAAAAAGTGGGGGGTTGGGTGAAGCAGAGGGGGCAGTGTGGAATGTAAATGATGAGTGAGGGGTGGGAGGGCATCGAAGTGTGTGTGTAGGTGTGTGTGTTCACCGCGGGGTGGTCTTGGGAGAAGCTCTTATGGAGAAGCCCTGAGATCCGCCGCCAACGCCGCCGCCGTCTCCCACCTCCTGATCTGCACACACAAAAATCAATTTGACGTCCAAATAAATAAATAAATAAATTTGGAGACGGTTTGCGCAGCAACACAACACGTTTTAAACCTTTTCTTTATTTTTGTCAAGAAAAAAACAGACCAAACTATAAAGTGTTTGTTTAAATTCACACTCTTGTTTGGAGGTTGATTATTTCGAGTGTTTCACAACGAGGAGTTTTTAATAAATTAGGGCACAACAAGGCGTCCTATTTCTTGCATTGCTCATTTAACAAGATCTAAGAAGGGCTGAGGTAGCTCGGTGGTCAGCGCCGCGGTCCAGTAATCCTGAGGCTGCAGGTTCGAGCCTCCAGTCTAAACGCCTGTTGTGGCGACTCCTAAGTGCCAAACTTATTTAATATAATGTTAATAATTAACAACCTTTAGAAGAACTTGTATGCTTGAAAATAATATACAGAAGAGCTATCTTGCTGAAATAAACACAAATAAACTGCTGCATCTTCCTGGTCTTATTTGGTAAACAAGGTACAGGCGAGACGGACTGCGGACTTTAAAAAAACAGCAAAATTGATATTTTCAGCCCAAATCAACCATAAAACTTCAAAAGATGCAACTTGATGGTTGGTTCTCTAATTATCTCTCAGATCGGAGGCAATGCGTTCAACATAATGGTTGAACGCATTGTCCAGCTATCTAACTGTTAACAATGGTGTACCACAAGGCTCAGTCTTAGGACCCATTCTCTTCACAATCTACAAAGTAATGTAGGTCAGGCTCATTGAGACCAACCTGTATAAATAAAGGTTGAATGAAAACTTGAAGACAATCTGGAATCCTCTTGAGCACATATTTGGTATATTAACGCTCATTTTTATTTGTAAACATTTTAGATGACAATCTACAAGTTTGCTATAAAAAAAGGCAGAATCCCTCTGCAAGCTGCAAAACACAATCAGACTTATTTGAAAGAAATGGTCACTTCAGATTTATTTTATAGTTGGCAATTTTAATTTGTATCAATTTAATTAATTCAGATCTGCCAGATTAATTCTGGCAGATTTGGTAATTATTGTTAATTCAAGTTACCCACACTGTCTAAAAGCTCTGCGGCTCTCCTCTACACCAACACACTGCTTCCTCGTTTTTTAACACCTCTAGCTTAGAGTGTCTGAGGATCGCAACATTTAGAAGTTTGACGGATTCCTCTCTAATCCAGATTAAACGTCCCGTAATCCCGAAGCCACTGCAGCCACCAGAACGTCTCAGTTTCTTCGTATCTCTTTCACATCCGAGCCGTCGTTCGGACTGCCTCTTCGCCTCTCCTCCCTCTGGGCCCCCGGCCAGACGCTTCTTTTCATTTTCCTCACTGAGAGTAATGAATCACACATGCACACACACTTTTTGCATCTATACGCTCACATCAACTCCCCTCTACTTAAGACAGTCAAACCCCAGCGGCTTCCTCCCACCATCCACTTCAGCTCCCTTCTTTTTCCGAACCCTTTTGTTGTTTTTTCCGTCGTAACCCTTTCTGTCGTGGCGCCTCCCTCAAAAGCAAAGAAGAGCGGCTGCCAAAGTAAACAGGCTACATGCACACAAACACACAAACACCTCGCATGACCCCCGAACAGCTGACAAACCAAACTTTAAAGCCGTGAACATGACGCTGCAGATGGGCGGCTTCGATATCGTGAAGATTTGCTGTATAAATAAAAACAACCAGGTCGGTTTGACCTTGATTTAGCGTTACAGCACGAGCTGCTAACAGGCGGATAAATCCTGAACAGTGGACGCGATCGATCCTGATAGTTTGTCGACGTCGATATTCTTAGTGGACACACTTTTTTTTATGTTTTAGTTGAAATGAGAGCAATTTTTCTACACCCAGTGGTATTTGCAGCGTACATGAGGCTGGACCGGTGTTGTGATGAGGTTTGTTTCCCTGCCAGGCCGTTACCTCTGCTGCAGAGATGCTTTATGGTAAAAGAAACACATCATGATGGTTAGTGGATACTTCAACACCACCTGGGTGTTTTAACACGCCTGGTTTAAGCATAATTAAATAAATACCATTTAAATTAGACATATTCATACTTAAATATTGTTAATAAATACAATCCAGAAGTATGACGTAAAAATAAAGGCTACGGTAAAAGAATACTTGATATTACATTTAGCAGTTGTTTAGTTCCCCCTTCATGATTCCTGCTAAACGAACATTTCTCACCACAGTTTGTTGCATTTCTTATCAACAGTATCTGCAGAACATTCTGAAAATTAATTAAAAATAAAAACAAGAGCTTCATTTGATTTGTCATGCTGGAGTTGACTCTTTAAAATTAAATAAAAAAATATCAGTTTAAACATTTTATTTTGTGGTAAACTGTAAGAGCCTACGTTGACTGTTTAAAATAAAATAAAAAAATAATTAGCTGTTTGTGGATATTATTATTGGAGGAAAATTAGTCGTTCAGACTGACCGAATTAAAACTAGTCAATAAGTCTTAATATTTACAAAGTGAGGGAGTAAATAACATAAAATTGCCCTCGCATTATGTAAGTCCAGTTGTTTTGGTTTTAAAACTTTTGGGATTCCTCATATTACAGAAACTGAATTTACTACAACTTAATGTTGCAGGTAACGAGTAAATAAATAAATAAATAAATAAATAAACCGTCCAGATGACCTGTCGGAACATTGCTGGGATTATTTTTTTTTTAACCTGGATTATGAATTTGAATTATAAACTTTGAAGTTGCAGGTGAACGGTTTCTATGCAGACAAATGTTTTATTGGGGCAAACGGTATATTTTATGTCTACGAGCGCAGCGCGCATGTTTCTGTGCTCCCCTCACATTCAGCCTGATTAGTGAGCCGACCTGCAGGTCACGCTGGATCTGGCTCTGCTGACTGGCAGCAGGACCCACTTCCTCCTCTTCACTCTTTATTCCTGCAGACCCCCACCTCTCTGCTCTACTTCCCAGCCAGACAGATGTCTTGCATCAGGAAGAGGCTGCGTTTGATTGTTAAAGCCACTTTTCAACTTGTTCGTCGGATCTTCTGCAGCGGGCCAACTCAGAACCATCATGGTCGACTTCTGCTCTTCCTCTCACACACTCAAGCCCGTCCACGTGAAGCACACACATATATGGCCATTAACACGAGGTGTAAGCCCCGCCCACTCAGCTCCAGAACACAACAGGAGGGGCTTAGGACTATCTCTGACCCTTGACCTTTCTGGAGGATCAAGGGGGCGTGACCCATTTATTATCTTCTCTCACACACACACGAACACACACACAGAGCTCCAGGTTAGGTTTGTTCTGGTACCTGCTGGTGACGCTTCGGACTGAGCGATGAGCGCCGCCATGGTGGAGTTGGGGTTCAGCCTGTTGCCGAACATGTGAGGGGGGGCCAGGTTGAAGACGGAGCCGGGCAGAGCCCCCACCTGAGGACAGAGGGACAGAGGAGACATGAAGCCATGTTTGACTGTCCTCACAGCTTCTGTCACCTTCAGGACGTTCCAACATGTCAAAATAAAAGAGGTCTTAGTAAAACGGAACATCTTTAAATAAAAAGTGTAGTTAAAATATCTGTGCATTTTACTCTAAACCATAAAGTATAGAAATGTTTGCTGCATGAATCAGTTATTTTAAATACTGCTCTTTAAAAGGTAAATTAAAAAAAATAGTTAAATCCGATCTTGAAAAATTAAAGCAGTAAAAGCTTTTTTTTTTTTTTTTAAATATGAATGCATATGTCTCAATAAGATCATTAAAAAAAACAGTGATAGCCTTAATTTTAATTTTCTAATTAATACCCAAATGAAAACTTTTGGAGCTAAACGTGCGCTCCACGAAGCAGCGGCTCATTATTCAGCGGCACATGAGGCTCGGAGCGCCCCGACAGTATGCTGACATGCTGACAAAGTGTTTCTGATGCATAGAGTTTAATCCAATTAAGGCATTTCCCAAATAAGGGCCATGGTGTGAAGGGTGGGGGGAGGGGGGGGGGGGGGGGGGGGGGGGGGGGGGGGGTTGCATCATCTGCTCTGTCTAAAAGAACAAAATGGCTGACTGTTGAATGCAGAAGAAAACACTCCAAACAAATGACGCTGCAGAAAAAAAAATTCAGAAAATCTCCTTTAAGGATGATCACATGATGAAAATTAAAATAAAAATTATAGAATTAAAATATTTACGGTGACGAGCTTCATCGATTATTGTATTTTTTACACTTTAATAATAAACCGGGGAAAACCACGAACGTGATGCAATTTTCCAATAAGCCAAAAGAACAAGCCATTTCTATAAATAGAATTATATTTTTATGAATTTGTATTTTTTAAACAGGCAATTAAGCTATTTTTAATTGTGTAATTTTTGTAAATATATTAGATGTTTAATCAAAGCCTTCAGCTGTTTGTAAATTTTTTTTAATTTATTTTTAGGGAATAAACCTAAATAAATTTATTAAAAAATGTATAAATAAATTTATTAAAAAAATTATAATTTAGAAAAATTGGACTTGAAATGCAATAATTAATTGCATTAATATATTAAATTAAATACCCATTCTCAGAGTTCATTGCTTTGAAACAACCTCCCCCTCCCTCAGCTCTGTAATCCCGTCTTTATTCCCATCAACATTCTTCTTATATTAAAGTCTCTAACTCACTTTAATTCATGTTTTTCCCACCGTCTTGGGCTGATAGCCAACGTCAGTTTGCCGTGTGACAGAAAATAGCAACGGGTCTTGGTCTTTGACGCACACGGGGAATCCCGCCATCAGCGCCACGCTGGAGTCGTCACATTTCTGCAGACTCTGTTGAAAGTTGCACGGAGGCGTGCGGCACGAGACGCCAACAGACGCAAGTTTAAACAAAAATAAACAACGCGTAAAGTAAAAAGGGGACCCTCATTTCTGTTCTGTCACTTTAGTACGTTCAGAAGAGACGGATGGATCATAGAGACAAGCAGAGGGATACCCCCCCCCCCGCCCCCCATCCCCACTGTGTCAGCTGTTATTACATCACAGGACAGCGAGGACACAATTGGAGACAGGACTGAGGACGTTTGGAGACTGCAGTCTGTAAAAGGAAGGCGAGCTTTCTCTTTTTATCTGAAAGAAGCTGAAATATTATTTTTATTAAGTTGCCATAATAATTCTGCTCTTTGGTAATTCCATAAACTCCAACTTTATTTACCTTTTTTAACTTTTGAAACATTTCGTCTTATTTCAATGTGAACAATTTTAGACCACAGAAGATGGGAATAAATAATTTCTCCACGTTTGCGTTTTAAGCGACATGATCTGAAGCATAAAGGGGGAAGACGTTCTGCCGTAACGCCCAGCCTCGGCGGTTCCTCCACCGATGCCGTTTTCTGTCAGAATTCAATATTCCTTCAAAAGTCCCTTCATTTCTTTCCGCTCCCTCTGAAAAGACACGTTTTAATTAGCAGGAACGCATCAGGCGACATGGTGGCCTTGTTCTCGGAGGTTAAAAGAACTGAATTAGTCTGCAGAACGGCTCCTGTGAGAACAAAAATGAAGATGTTTTTTTATTTATTTGTTCTTTCAGTGAACGACTGCGACCCTCCACAGGTGCACCCGAGCGTCAGCAGCAGATTATCCGGCTGTAAAAACCGACTACGCACAAGGTCAGAACGCGCACGTTTTACAGATAATTAACGCAGCGGAGGATTGATAATGGAGCGCAGGGATTTGGTGCCGAGAACGTTTTAATTGGTGCGCGTCGGTTTGTTTGTCTTCACGCAGGTTTCCTGCTTTTTTCTCTCTGCGCACTCGAGTTCAAAGACGTGAACGACGCGAGTCGCTGAATGAAGGCAGAGTGTGCGTTTGTGAAAGAGGAAAAGAAAAAAGAGAGATGGAGTGCGTCGCCGCGGGTTTTGACGAGCTCGTCCTTTCACGCGCGTCAGGTGAGGGAGAGTTTTCAGCTCGGGACTCACGTGCGTGGAGGACGTGCTGCTGAGAGGAGCAGCGGCGGTGAAAGGGGAGGGAGGGGCCAGGGAAGGCGTGGGCTGCTGTTGCTGTGACAACTCGGACGTGGCCCCGCCCACTGGGACGACTCCTGTCCCCAACGATGACCCGTCGGCAGCAGAGAAGACACCTGTGGAGACAAACATCAACATTAGAACGTTTTTTATTTTAACCGTGGACACACCAGGAAACATTTTTGTTTCTACAACAAGTTAAAGAGTCCCGGACAACAACGGTGCTTTTAATAAGAATCATTTAATTTGATGTTTGACACAAACGTTTTGTCAAATGTGACCAATACCATGATTTTATACACTACGATTACACAGTTATGCAAATTTGTTCATGTAATCGACATAGCTGCAAACAAAAAGTTGTAATTATAAGAAATAAGACTGGAAATATTACATAATTATTACGGTTTAAATGGTAGAAAAGTTTGTTTTTCAACATTTCACACACATTTTATTCTTTTACTGACTTTTCATTTTATTGTTTTTCCTTTGTTTTATCTTTTATTTAAAATAATAGTGAAAAAAAAAAATCTTAAAATCAATCGACGGGTGTAGATAAACATAATTGACACAACAATATATACACTAGGTGCAAAACAGTTTTTTTAAATTTAAATTAAATATATATTTTTGTTTAAATATCCGCTCAAGTTATAATTCATTAAATTTACAAATTTAATGAGTGTATTTAAAAAATCCAAACACATAAAACTGATAAATACCAAAAATTAGATAATTTTAAACGGCCTTATAAAAGGAATAACAGGCGCTTTTAGTTGAACTTTTATTTATATTTTTGCATCAGAATTGTAAGAAAATAATTATATTAATTCTCGTGTTGCTCCATTGCCCCCACCCCTCCTTAAATCTAATATCTCTGCCCTCACCCACTTCCTCCCCTCACACACCCCTGTCCTCACCCACTAACCAGGGATAAGCCCTGCCCCTGCCTCCCTTTGACCCCAGCAGAGGAGGGGGGGGGGGTGAGAGAGGGGCCCCTCGGCCCCACAAAAGCCTGAATGGCTCAGGGCAGCACGCATTCACTGGGGGAACAAGAGATCTTTGTGCCAGGAGGGGAGGAAGGGGGGAGCAATAGATACGAACACTACATGGGCCGACATACTATTTATAACGCTTTGCAATATGCAGCAGAAAAATTGATCCCCAAAGCGGGGCTGTTGAAGCTCCGGGGGTGAGGCTGGGTGTGTGTGTGTGTGTGTGTGTGTGTGTGTGTGTGTGTGTGTGTGTGTGTGTGTGTGTATGTGTGTGTGTGTGTGTGTGTGTGTGTGTCTGCAAGGTTTTCAGCAGCTGGATTAGAGGCCAAACCAACAATTCATCAGAGTTTAACTAATGCTGCAATGAAACGGGTTAAAAGCACGGAGGGAAGAGAAGCTGGAAATATAATTATTCAAAATGGAAAATACAGCTAAAGATATATTAACAAAAATATGTAATTTACCCATTTCATTTTAAAATATATATATTTCTGTACCCAATATAAAAAAAGCAGCCTTATTTTTGCAGTTTTATTGAAATATTAATATTATAAATGGTGAATAATTGCCAACTGATTAACATTAATGTACTGCTGGGAAAAAAAAAAATTCAAATCACGAGAAAAACTTTTTAAAAAACACCAAAAAAATTTTTCTCCTTTCCAACTTAAATGTTTTACGTCACTTATTTAAAAATCTATAAAACATTTATATAAAATTATTGAGATTGATGCAAATTCAAGCTAATTCTGTTCCAGCAACAACAAAAATTGCAACACACACGTTGAACACACATGCCCAATCCTGGGAAAACAAGAACAACAACAACAACAACAATAACCTAATTTGTGTAATCGATGCAGTAAAGCCCCTGAAGCGCGCTCGCCTCCATTAGCCAACGCTCCTCTTCCCTGCCTGCGCAGGAAGTCCGTAAGCTGCACAAGGATCCACTTTATTACTCCGAGCCCACACCATTTAATCCACACAAACAAAAGTAAAATCACCCGTCATCACTGAGAACAGAATCTGTGCAGCCGACCGAAGCCGAAGGAGACTCCAAGTTTGTTTTTATCCTGCAGAGAGTCGTGGTTTCAAACGAACAAAACAAACGTTGTTCTGAGACTTTCTGTTAAACCAGTAAAGATAAATACAAACATTAATCTGAAGCCACAGAGAGGGCGGGCAGTGTGTGTGTGTGTGTGTTTGCAGAATGTACGTGGACTTACG